AGAAGGAGAAGGAGAAGGAGAAGGAGAAGGAGAAGGAGAAGGAGAAGGAGAAGGAGAAGGAGAAGAAGAAGAAGAGTATGTCAGAATGCTGCTTGCAAATCAAGTGGCCGGCTTGAAATTTCATGAGTAGTCAGTTGAAGCTTTCCGTGGCAGGAACTTCAGTCGTGATGACACCTAAGAATTCTTTGCAAATCAAACTGATGTTAAAGAGACAGCTAGAGGGTCCACTTTAAAGGGAGGAGGAGGGGGGATAGGGAGGGGGTAGAGTTGGATTTATACCCCGCCCTTCACTCAGAGTCTCAGAGCTGCTTACAGTAACCTTCCCTTCCTCTTCCCACAACAGACACCCTGTGAGGTAGGTGGGGCTGAGAGAGCTCTGAGAGACCTGTGACTGACCCAAAGTTACCCAGCTGGCTGCATGTGGAGGAATGGGGAATCAAACCCAGTTCTCCAGCTTAGAGTCCACCGCTCTTAACCGCTACACCAAACTGCTTGTCTTAGATGTGCACAAACATTTGGATGTCCTCAAACATCTTGGATCTCATCTTACATCTGACACCACCAGGGCTTGTCAGAAGAAGATCTCACCCAAAAAGAACATGACTGCAGGGTCGGGTTACCACTTGTCCTCTTTTTAGAGGACATGTCCTCTTTTTTTTGGTTTCCATCCTCTTTTGGGCTCGTTTGAAAAAACCCCCGATGAAAATGTCCTCTTTCGGGGTTGGAAAGCTAGGAATATTCCTAAGTACTAGCAGCTTCAGTAGCAGGGGTATTTAAATCGAGATCTGTCACAGTGATCACTTGTTTGAAGTAGTCAGTTGGGAAATATGTCCTCTTTCCTGCTTTTCAAAATACGGTAACCCTAGTGCAGGGTTACGTGGCGAGATCTTAATTTTTGGTTTGTCGTAGCGTCGAAGCAAACGGGCTTTGCATGATGGACTTCTAGCTCTGATTAGGAAAGACAGGCGATTGAATTGCAAATTAGAAAACGCTTCAGTAAAAGAGTCTCAGGGTTAAAACAAAGCTCCAAGGCTTTATGCCACTTGAGAGGGAAGATAAACTACCCACTTATCCAGGTTCTGGAAGTCCTGTGCAATTCCAGAAGGCAATCAGTCCTGTTTCCCCCTTCTTTCCCCCTTCCTTTCCCACCTCCTCCTTTCTCTTCCCTTCTGCATTGACTTGTTTAATCTAAATTAAAACCAAGATCGACTGTGATGGCTGAAAGGCTGACCAGCTTTTAAGAAGGTGACGACTTTCCTAGCTTTCAAAGAAATACAGCCCTGCCAAGTTTTCCGCTTCAGGGAGGAAGACATCTGGGTTTGATCCTTCTCAATCTAGTTCTCTTGTTTCTAATCTGATTTTGTTGTGGTCCGTTTTCCTCTGTGCTGCAATTTGGGGAACAATGTTGTTGAGAGTTAAGATTAGCTTTGCAAGAGTAGAAGCGTAGTCAGAAATCATCTCGTCGAGATCTGGCCTGAATGATCCAAGTTTGTAAATGTTCCTGATGCAGATAGAATTATTGCCAACATTTGGAAGCAGTTGAAAAACTTCCAGTCTGATAGTTATTCATGGGTATCACTGTCTAGTTTCGTTTGCAGTGCAGGGGAAGGTGGGAGGGGCGGCAAGAGGACTGGGCAGATAGGTGACTGATAAGGTGGTTATCCAGCCAGCGTGATTAGCCTTTCTTCCAGCCAAACAGGATATTCCCAGTTGGCATTTTCACGCAATTCCACATTCCCATCACATTTCATTGATGGGGGTTGGTCTTTCTGACTTGTGCGAGATAAGTTCTTTTCTTTTTTTCTTTTTTCTGCTGTCAAGGCACAACTGATTTGGCTGCAACTTGATGGTATTTTCTACCACCACCGCAGTCTTAATATTGAAGAACATAACTCAGGTTTTTCATATAATGGAACAGAAGAGTGGTTTGGATACCCTGGAGCCGTTCCATCTCATCATTCCACTGGCAGGAGGCACCTTCCCTTGATGCACGGGGCTCTTTGTCATATCAGAGGAAGTCTCCTTCTGCGGGCGGAAGTATCTCTGCTAGCTTGCTGAACAGACCCGCGGGGTACAACCCCGAATCGGAACCCAGCTTTTTGTTTTATTTTGCCACACCCTTACTTGACAGACCAAGGTGAAGCATTTTCATAAACCAGCCCGAAGTTTCCCTGCTTTCCGTGGCCTGCCCGAGCAAGACCTCTGTCCCCATGGCAAGCCGGTTCAGGCCAACTTTGTTCAACTTGACCTGCTATCTCATAGGTCCTTGGCCAGAAAGGCTATGTGGACTATCGACCCCATCTCCTTTCAGCTCGTCTATTCAGCACCCTCTTCTTCCTTTTATGGGCCCATGCAGTTACACGCAAAAGTAAAGTATACCTGAGCATGCACAGAGTGACTTTCCTTTTCCACTGAGCAATTGCAGTCCACCACATGCTTAAATGAAGAAGCGGGACAGCAGAAACTTGACAGAGGTCTGATCCCTGGCGCCTCTATTTGAAGGAATGGTGCACTTCCACCACCTCCCCTGACTAGATCGCTTCTGATTCTTATTTTCCTCCTTTTTAATATGCACCCTCCAGCCGGCCACTGTAGTGTGAAGGCTAGAGTGCCAGACGAGGACCTGGGAGCCCCAGGTTCAAATCCTACCACACAGGGTTGTTGTGAGGATAACATGGGGGATAGGGAAAGGATGTCAGGATTCAAAATGATCTAGTTAGGCTGGAACAAATAAAATGAATTTCAATAGAAGTGCAAAGTCCTACACTTAGCTACAAAAAACCAAAGGCACAGATATAGAATGGGAGGGACTTGGCTTGACAGCAGCACATGTGAAAGGGATCTAGGTGTTCTGGTTGATCACAAGCTAAACATGAGCCTGCAGTGCGATGTGGCTGTGAAGAAAGCTAATGCAATCTTAGGATGCATTAACAGAAGCATTGTGTCCAGATCACGGGAGGTGGTCGTTCCGCTCTATTCTGCTATGGTCAGGCCTCACCTGGAGTCCTGTGTCCAGTTTTGGGCACCACATTTTAGGAAGGATGTTGAATAGCTCGAGCATGTCCAGAAGAGGGCAACCAGGATGGTGAGAGGGTTGGAATCCAAGTCTTACGAGCAAAGGCTGAAAGAGTTGGGTAAGTTTAGCCTGGGAAAGAGAAGGCTTAGAGGGGACACGATTGCAGTCTTCAAGTATTTGAAGGGCTGTCATATAGAAGATGGAGCAGATCTATTCTCTCTTGCTCCGGATTGCAAGGCTAGATCTAATGGGTGGAAATTACAAGGGAGTCGTTACCAACTAAATATCAGGAGAAACTTCCTAACTGTAAGAGTAGTTGATGACCTGCAAGGTCCCTTCCAACTCTAACATTCTATGATTCTATGATGTCAGCCATCTTCGGTCCCCATTGGGGGAAAGGTGGTATAAGTGGAAGCAATTTTTTCCTGCAGGTCAGTTTGGCCGTGGATCCTGGAGGTTTTTTTGTCATCTTCTGGGCATAGAGCAGGGGTCCCTGGAGGTGGGATGGGGTGGTATTTGTGAATTTCCTGCATTGTGCAGGGGGTTGGACTAGATGACCCTGGAGGTCTCTTCCAACTCAATGATGATGCTGGTTGTGTGGGTTTTAAAGAACAGAGACCAACAGAGGCGGTTTGCCATTGCCTGCCTCTGCAGAGCAACCTTGGGCTTCCTTGGTGGTCTCCCATCCAAATACTAACCAGGACCGACCCTGCTTAGCAGCCAAGATCTGATGGGATTGGGCTGGCCTGGGCCATCCAGGTCAGGGCAAAGCGGCGGACCGAAGACTGAGATAAGGAAGTATTTCTTCCCCTATACCACATCATTACCTTACGGAACTCAATTGCCACAAGATATACCAACCGGCCTCTCTCCTGGGGATCTCCTTCTTTTAAAAAGAAATTAGAGAAGTTAATCAAGGATAGGCTTGTCAGTGGCTATTAACCATGGTAGCTACATGGAACCTCCACGTTCTGAGGCAGTATACCTTATAGGATTGAATGCAGGCCCAGGGGACAGTTTTTGCCTCCGCGCCCATCTTGTAATCTTCCCAAAAGCATCTTGCTTTCTGTTTTTAGAAAGCAGTTCCTGGAAGATGATGAAGAAGAAGAAGAAGAAGAAGAAGAAGAAGAAGAAGAAGAAGAAGAAGAAGAAGAAGAAGAAGAAGAAGAGATTGTGCTTCTACTCCGCCCTTGACTCAGAGTCTCAGAGCAGCTTACAAGCTCCTTTCCCTTCCCCTCCCCACAACAGACACCCTGGGAGGTAGGTGAGGCTGAGAGAGCTCTTTCCAGAACAGTTCTCGAGAGAACAGCGCTGATAGAACTACGGCTTGCCCAAGGTAATCCAGCAGCTGCAAGTGGAGGAGTGAGGAATCAAACCTGGTTCTCCCAGATTAGAGTCCACACACTTAACCACTACACCGCACTGGCAGTCCTATGCAAAATGAGGTCAGTAGGCTTAGGAGGGTACAACTCTGCATCAGATGGCAATGCAAAGGAACCCTCGGTACAATCCGGTCGATCTCTTCCTATGTTCTGAGTCTCACAGTACCTAGAGAGGCCCCCAAGCCTCACAAAACAGCAAGGGGCGAAAGTACACAACAGCTGTCATGCTGCACAGCCTGGTCTTGGAAAGTGAGGCAAAGTGAGCCGTGCCTGTTTCTTCAAGACCTTTATTTTCGGCTTCCCCCCCCCTCCCCATTACAGCTGCCGTCATCTGATCCTCTCTCTCTCTCTCTCTCTCTCTCTCTCTCTCTTTGAATGGGCCTCTCTAGGAGTGCCAGATGTTGAAACAAAAGTCTAAAAATAATCTTTCCATCTATCTTTCCAGGGAAGCGAGGGCACAAGCTCAGAACAGCTGCAAGATCAGAGAATCTGATCAAACTTGGAGTAAGAAAATTTCCAAGACAGATCTTGGTAGGAGACCCAAGGCTTTGGACTCTCTCTCTCTCTCTCTCTCTCTCTCTCTCTCTCTCCCTCTCCCCCTTTGTGTTAAGGATAATTGCGTAAAGACAAGAGTGGTGTTTCCTGACTAAACAGTTTGGACTCCTCTTCTCTCTGGGGAAAAGCCGAAGCGAATCCAATCTCTTGACGTCCAGATCTGGAATTCTAATTTTAATTGTTCATGAGGAGAAGCTGCTAGCCATTGGAATGGGATGCAAACAGCATTTCTGCGTGAAAATCTTTGCTGCAACAGTATGTGTCTTGCTTCTGTTCCCACATTTGGGCTTCGCAAGAAAACGTTGGAAACGTGGACTTCACCTGAAGCTGACAGAGAAATATGATGTGAGTATTGGGCAGATGCCTCAATATACCCAGGAAAATTGCTGGAATTATAGTTTAGGAACTTTTTTTGGGGGGGGTAAAATCATGATTTATCCTGTGATAAAGTTTCTGGGACTCTGTATTTGTAAGAGAGGATTTCTTGATTCTAAACTGCCAAACTGGACTGAATTTTTTATCAGACTTTTCTTAGCAAAGGATGAGCATGAATTTCATTTTTCACAGTCTGGGCCAGTGTTCCCTCTAAGCTGAGTTAGTGTGAGCTAGCTCACAGTTTTTTAGCCTCTGGCTCACACATTTTTGTCTTAGCTCAGGAAGGATGGCTCCAGAGCCAACTAATTTATGCAGCAGCCAAATCACTTGCTCACGACTTTAATGCCAGGAGCTCACAAAGTAGAATTTTTGCTCACAAGACTCTACAACTTAGAGGGAACATTGCTCATCACTAAGACCCTGCTCATAAAACATGCTTGGGGGGGGGGCTAATGCTCAATTCCCCTGAAGGGCTATGGACTGGCCACAGAGCCCTTACACATAAGTAGACTGCTTTTGCTTCATTGAGATCAGATCTGAGTGTCAGAGGCAAAGCTCTCACTCGGGAGGGGATGGGGACCAACCAGGGCAAAATGCCCGGTGGCATGTACAGAGCGTCATTTTGTGATTACAGTCCCCTCTTGTGCTTTTGAAACAGAAAGCGTAAAATGTCTCAGGTTAAAAGGCAAGGATTCCTAGAAGGTTGAACAGTTAAGATCCTTCTTTGTCTATCTGTCTGTCTTGCGTATCGTAGAGTTGGAAGGGACCTCCATGGTCATCTAGTCCAACCCCCTGCACAATGCAGGAAATTCACAAATACCGCACCCACACACACCCAGTGACCCCTGCTCCATGCCCAGAAGATGACAAAAAACCTCCAAGATCCTCCAGGATCTAGGATGACTCTAGATCAAATCAAGCCTGAACACTTTGTAGAAGATCAAATGTGGGGCTATCGTACCGTAGTCACATCCTGAGGATACAAGAAACACCGGACAAGACAAGAATGCTAGGGAAAGCTGAAGGCAGTGGGAAAAGAGGAAGATCCAACAGAAGATGGATTGACTCCATCAAGGAAGCCACAAAGGCCCTCCGTTTGCAAGACCCGAGCAAGGCAGTTAACGAGAGGACATTTGGGGGGGTCTTTCATTCATAGGGCTGCTTTAACTCTGAAGTAACTTGACAGCCTCCTCCTGCCAACCTAGCAGTTCAAAAGCAAGAAATTGCAAGTAGATAAATAGCTGCGGTGGCTCAAGTGGTTAAGAGGCTGAACTGCAGGCTGTGGAAGGTCTGTCGTTCGGCAGTTCGAGACCCGAGTGTGCCGCATGATGGAGTGAGCTCCCGTCTCTAGTTCCAGCTCCTGCCAACCTAGCAGTTCGAAAGCAAGAAATTGCAAGTAGATAAATAGGTACCACTTCAGTGGGAAGGTAACAG